ACGTAGGAATGCACACAAGGAAATTCACTATTCATTCCTTTGGTTCCAGTCATTCCCATCTCAAGTCCAAAAAAAAAAAAAAGTATTTTTTATTCTGCACTCCTTATTCACTATTCATTCCTTTGGTTCCAGTCATTCCCATCTCAAGTCCAAAAAAAAATGTATTTTTTATTCTGCACTCATTATTTTTCTTTTTCATATTTCCTTATGGAAGAAATTCTTCCCTGTGAGGGTGGTGAGGCACTGGCACAAGTTGCCCACAGAAGCTGGGGCTGTCCCATCCCTGAAAGTGCTCAAGGCCAGGTTGGACAGGGCATGGGTCTAGTGGAAGGTGTCCCAGCCCATGGCAGGGGGTGGAACATGAAGACCTTTTAAAAGTTCCTTCCAATCCAAACCATTCTCTTCACAGGGGCAAAGTTTCAGGCAAGAAAGAAATTTAACAGTGAAGAACAGACAGGGGAAGGATGACTTTTAAACTTATAACAGAAGTTGACATATACAAAGGCTTGAATAAATACAAGAGTAAACTCACATTAAGAATTTCATCCTTACAGAACACTAAGGCTTCAGGTTGTTTGCTTGAAGGAAAAGCTTTTTCAAAAGCTACTTTTGCAGCAGAAGCAGCAGGGGAGTAAGTGTCACACTGAGCAATCAGCCAGTAACCCATTATACTTTTTAAGTAAGGAGCTAAGTGTTTTTTTACTTTAAGAATCAGTTGCTCAAAAGATTGTTGAGTTGCTTCTCGAACACGGCGATCATGATCCTGTTAAACAAAGAAAAGAAGGAAAAAGATAAAGGTTTGTTGGTTTAAGAAATGTACCTTTGATTTCAGACACTTCAAAGCAAAAGTGGTGATTAAAAAGCCATATTTGCAATTAATTGGATTTGAAACACAGATTTGAAAAGACACACCAATGACAAAAAAGTTGTGGTATCCCAAGATATGGGGAGAATCCTAATTTAGTAGCATCATATTACCAAACTGTTGTACACTCAGATTGTAACCTTTCCCTGATATCCCTAACAACAGTTTTTATTTCCAATTTATACAAACATTTTACAGACAGACAAGAGGAAGGAGAAACAGGAAGCCTTGAAGACATCTTCTGAGTCAGAACTATCATAAGCTGTGCATTGCTATCCTTTATTTGAATATGAATTTACAACATCATGATTTTCTATACTCTTGACTCCAGAAAGAAACAGTAGGAATTACTCTATTGGGCAAGAATAGTGATTCATTTTGTTCCATACCATGTTTTCAACAGTAGGCATTCTAGACAGCTTGGAAATAGAATAAATAGATCAAGAAACTTATTGCTAATCTGGCTACACATGGTCTTTTCATATTTGGGTTTGGAGGTTTTTTTTAATGTTAAGTCAGGTCAGATATTAGCCCTAGATCAAGAAAGTTTATAATTATGTTAACTCTCTATCCTTTTTGGAATCCACATAAAAAAAACTTTTCCTAAGAAATATAGTACCATCTTTTAAACCTAAAGGTCTAACAGACCTATCAAGGAAGAACAGCCCAGAATCAACAGTTCAAGATTCCACCCACTGCCAATAATGAAATATGTCCACAAAAAGAGCAGTATTTTCCTTCAACTCAATGTTTCCCCTAGAACAAGTCAGTAATTCCAACAAAGGTAGATAGGTCATCAAAGACCACCTTAGAGGTAGTCATAGGAATAGATAGATAATTTTCTAATTTAAATACTCCAATACTTACCAGTGAAATTTTACAATAAATTCTCGGCCAGTAAGGAAGAACACCTTTAACAACTTCTGCTTCTCTTTCCTTGCACATCATCCCAAACTCTTGCATAGCCTAAAATCAAAACATCAAGAGCATGACTTAAGGAGTCAGGTGGATATGTTCTGTAATTTACCAGTTTTAATCCAAAACTGCAACTCCTTGTCCAAAAAGTCAAATAATTTCTTGCAAATGAGCACCTATAGAGTGCATGATAGGCTATCCAGGATATCATCTGTATTGCAGTTCTAGCAAATCCACCAAAGTGAAATTAGTTACTTCCTCTTCCTCCCTTAAGAAAACTGTATTATTCTCCGATTAAAAAAAAATAAATTATGGGGGGCAAAGGATACACCTACTTTTAACTTGGTTGTGACATCCCTTTTAGAAAGTTTCCGCAGCACCATTCGGAAATCGGCATCCACAAGGCTGTTTACTTCCTCTGCTCCTTGAATTGCAGGAACATATCCTAGATCACTCTGAGATGTTCCGAAGCCAATAAACCCAGGCACTGTTCCACGTTCTTTGGCAAGGAGCTCTGCAGCTCGGCCACTGCTAGAAGGCTGACAAAAGAAAAGGGACGGGAGTCAATTATCGATTTAATTTTATTCTGCACACACTATGCATTTGAAAATATGATTCTATTTTTATTTTATAATTAACCTTCTAATTAACGTAAAGTCTCTCAAAGAAGAGTCCACCTGTGCTTTAAACACAGAAACCTAGAAAATTATTCTTCTCTTCAGGATCAGGCTGAGAAATTTCGGGCTGTTCAGCCTGGAAAAGGCTCCAGGGAGCCCTCATAACATCCTTCCAGGATCAGCAGGAAGCCTAAAAGGAAGCTGGAGAGAAGTCTTCATCAGGAACTGTAGTGATACGACAAAGAGGAATGACTTCAAACTGAAACAAAACAGGTTTAGATTACATATGAAATTCTTGCCTGTAAGGGTGGTGAAGCCCTGGCACAGGTTGCCCAGAAAAGCAGGGGCTGCCCCATCCCTGGAACTGTTCAAGACCAAGTTGGACAGGGGTTGGAATAACCTGGTCTAGTGGAAGGTGTCCCTTCCCATGGCAGGTGTGACTGGATGAGCTTTAAAGTCCCCTCCAACCCAAACCACTCTGTGAGTCTATGTGATGATTCTGTGAATCAGAATTCTCTTTTCTCATAAGGCATGAATATTTATGGAAATTTTTCTTGCTTTTATTGCTTTATATTGATTTTTCGCTATACAAAAAAGCCTAACAGAAAATTCCTTCTGCAAGAAAACAATTTATTAAGAATCTATAAACAACTTATTAAGAAACTATTTATCCTCCTTCACTATTTCTGGCTTTCTAGTTTTTATCATAGGCCAATACAGCTCCCAGGGAATGCTCCTTTATTCTCTGAACAAATAAAAACACACATACATAAAGGATTCTCCCAGAAAAAATTATTCCGCTTGCGGCCCAAAATTATTTAGAGACATGGAGCAAAAGCATGCATATGTAATGAATACAATAAATATCATGCATATGTAACAAATACAATAAATATCATCATACAGTGTGTTTTGGAGCTCAGCACCACTCCTAGTTTACCCCATTTGCCCATTGTATTGTTGGCTGAGGTTTGTTTCAACCACGCTCTTTTAGAAAGACTACCCCAAAACTGACTGATGCTTAAATGTCTTCTGGGACACCTCACAATGCAAATACCCTTAATTTCCTAATGGCAGCAGCAGTTTAGTGAGCTTGTGGGGTTTAATTAATCTCTTCTGCATGTGAGCTGTTAAGGATATGCTGCTTTGCGTTCTCTCGTCTTCCCTAAATCCAGGGAGGAATTAGGGAACCTTAACACCAGACTTCTCCCACAATCCTGAGTGACAGGGCAGATATCACGTCATCTCTGGCCTTTTGGCAAGAGTGTATCCTAAAACTCGGCACAGAAAAGCACACCGAATGTGCCACCGGCGCCTTGCTGAATCTACACCCGCGGTGACTTTGCTCTCCCTCTCCGTACAAACACCGCAGCAGCAGCGCTCACACTCCCCAAAGCACAGCCCAGGCCAAGAGGCGGCCCCGGGCCCGGGCCCAGCCACCACAACCGGCCCCACAGCCCGCGCTGCCCTCGGAAGGGAGCCGCGCTCCGGCACCCGGCGTGCCCGAACCGCGAGCCCCCGAGCCCGGCCCCCGCTCACCCGCAGGTTGCCCTTGGTTCGCTGCTTGTTCTTGCCCCCCATGGCGGAGCCGGGAGCGGGGCCCGGCCGCAGCCACCGCGGGCTCCCGACACTTCCGGGGCGGGGCCGCGCGGCGCGGGAGGGAGCCTGCCCCGGACGGCCTCGAACTCAACAACATCCTTTGAGGAAAAAAAACTAAATCCATCGATCTTAAACACCGAGCGTCCCGTGGGGCCTTTACGGAGTCGCAGCCTTCTTGTACATTTACAAAGACTTTGGATTTGGGAAAGTTTCACCCACGCTTGTCGAATGGTATCGCTGTGAAGTATCCCTTCAAGTCCATACCAGAGAGTTAGCGATTTTACAGGATGTGTACAGAAACATTTTTTTTTATTTAATCAATATTTAATAAAAATATTTAATCAAACGAAACACAATTGTTATCCATTCTGTAGATATATACTGATTATTGATATGTAACTGTAGAACCTACCTCTTATTCTTACTGAATTGCATCCTATTTTAAAGACAATGCCCATGTGAATTAGTCAAGTCTGATTTGGATTCTAATCCCGTTCTCCGAAATACTTGCAGACTTACACAGACAGGTGTTGTATGCACTAATATGGATACTCTCTATCGAAAGTAATTCCAGACCAAGTAGTTAAAAGCCTTTGGTTTAGAAGTCATCCTTACAAAATTTTTAATTATCAGGCTATTTTTCTATAGAGTTTTTTTGTGCCACAAAATTGCTGTATGTTATGCTGAGTGCTGTTTGGCAGCTCCCTACACCACTTTCCATGCTGATATTAGGTAAGGAACCCTTTTTGTGGATATGCTTTTTCCACCATGGGATTTATATACAGTATCTGCAAAATTAGCATTCATTGATACAACTTTGTCAAAATCCTGCTCAAAAACACACGCAACATAATGCATTTCGTATTACAGGATGGAACACTTGGGAACTCAGAAGGCTGAGGATCGTTTCAGAGTTTTTGAGCATGCCATAAGGGAACCCGACCCTTGGTACACTGCTGCTTTTACACAAACCAAAATAACAGATGCAGTGCAGCCACTAAACTTTTAAAATTTCAAAAACAAGTGATTGGCGTTTTTCACAATGGTATCTATCTTACCTGCACACACACTTTTACCTACAGAAAATACTTATGCCTTAGAGTAGGCATCCTAACTCATCTTGGCAGCATGAGTAAGACTCTTGTAAACTTGCTCCCTCCCTTTGTTCCTTTTTTTAAAAAAATAATGATCTCATGGCTCACTAAACTTTCAGGTTAAAAGTAGAAGACTGTTTAGAAAAGAAGTTTTCATGAAGTGTATGTAAACAGTAACAATTAATGTAAACATTGTGTTCTCATTCCTGAGATACCCACATTGCAATTTTGTCTTTTCTTATTTGTATATTCATTCATCATATTCCATCTCTTCATCCATCTACAATTCTGTAACTGTCCAGTAGGTTATCAAACACATTTTCTTTCATTTTAAGTAGGTATGGATCCTAAATCTTCTTAACACCAGAAAGTGCACAAAGCATTCATATAGTCATTTTCATTATTTAGGATTTCGTTGGATATTTGTTTATATTGAAATCAGGATTCATCACATGAATCATGATCTATTAATTCCCTCTCTGATCAACTGTTGCAGAAAAGCTAAGGAATCTGTTATGATTAAATTAGAAATGTAGCTGCTGGGGTCTCTGCTGATCTTCAACTCCTTGAATGCCCTTCAACCCCAAAGTACATTTGAAATATGTCAGCACATCCTTTTTCTTCTAAAAAATTATATAGTTGCCCCAAGTCCATATGATTTCCCCGAGCACCGTGTGCATCAAAACATTTTTCTTCTAAAGTGGGAAACTTTCGTTGCTTCTGGATCTCAGCATGTCCTCCACCTTCCAAAGAAACATCTTCTCTGTGCCGAATAAGGATTCTTTTCCATGTTAATCTTCTTACCCTGAAAGCAATTGAGGAAATATTAATCTACCTATAAAATAAAGACTGTTTTGGGAAATACTATGGAATAAATACTATCACAAAAGTCAGTAAATTCTATTTGTGTATATATATCTTGACAGAGATGGTCACATGGTTCATGAACTGGTCACAGAAATACTACTCACATGCAAACACTTATAAGCAGAAGCTTGGGAGTTTTTTATCTCCTCAAGACTGGAAACCTTTAATGCTATTCCTAACAAAATAATTAATGAGGATGTGGTTTCTATTTCAGGGCTCACTTCTGTCTTCCCTGTGCTAAGCATTCTCATACACTCTTAGCTGATACAATCAAATTACAATACTTATTTAGTCTGCACCACCCAGAAGTATAAAAGATGTAAGGAGAATTAAACACAAATGTAAAGTGATATAACAGCACACATATCTAACACAACTGGAGTACTGCAGTCCATCTCTATAAAAGTGAAACACAGAGGAAAATAAAACAGAAATAAATGTGCATCTTGCAGTATCAGTTTCTTTAACTGTTGCAACCAACAGTACAGTGGATATTCAGAGTTGTATATGCATTATTATAAATACAAATACTTTACAGATCTTCACAGCTTGGCAGGTGGTTGAATTTCCCACTTTCTGGCCACATGTACAACATGACAAAATGCAATATTCTAACTACTAATGGCATTTAAGTATAAAGAAGAACTAACCTTGACCAGAACTCTTCACAACTACTTTGTAAACCTTCTACACAAACAACGCCTGGTTTCCCTGGCATGCAAAACCCTGACAGAGAGAGCTCCTTGGCCCAGTCAATAATATTTTTTCTTTTTTGCTTGTTGTAAATGTGATGACTGTAGATCCACAATCGAGTGAACACGGTGACTTCTGACTTCGTGGCATCTGAGGCTGTCACTGAGAAGGATGAAAGATCTTTGTCAATGTAACCAGCTGCATGGTCTTTAACCCATTCCCTCGCACTCAGCATGCAGGGCTCGCCACTGAAGTTTTGCATCAAGTATGCTTTTAGATCGGAGTTTAGGAGAATCTGCTGAGAGCGGCTTAATAACGATGACCTAAAGAAAAATATATACGCATATAAATATGTATGTGTTTACACTTTACCATGCTTTTAAAAACACAGAATAATAGAATCCTTAGGTTTAGAAAGACATCCAAGATCAAGTCCAACCTTTGGCCGATGATCACCTTGTCAACCAAACCAGTGCACTGAGTGCCATATCCAGTCATGCACTGACCACCTCCAGGGAAGCGACTCTAGCACCTCCCTGGACAGCTCCTGCCAAAGCCTGACCAACCTCTCCATCAGGAAATTCTTCCTTATGTCCAACCTGAACCTCCCCTGGCACAGCTTTAGCCTATTTCCTCTTGACCTGCCCCTGGCTCCCTGGGAGAAGAGGCCAATCTCCACCTGCCTATAGTCTCCTTTCAGGTAGCTCTAGAGAGTGATAAGGTCCCCCCGAGTCTCTTTTTCTCCAGGCTAAACCACCCCAGCTCCCTCAGCTGCTTCCCATTAGGACTTGTGTTCCAGACACTTCCCCAGCTTCATAACTTTTGAAGTTTTGCTTCAAGTTGTCAAGAAAATCAGACATAGCTAGATAATACACACTTGCTATTGATATTTTATTAGCTATGAAAACATCTTAATAATTACTTAATTGGTGTGCTAGCTCTTGAATTCACAAACAGCACTCCCAATCTGTAATATAAAATCAAGAAAAAGGTACTTGAAAAGTAAGTATGGTGGCTGAACTAATCTCCTGTACTACACAAGTCTACTTCTTTAAACAGAAATAAAAAGAACAGAAGGCTGGAAGAAACAGCATTGTGACAAGGGAAGAGTAAGACCTTTGATTATCTTTTCATCCCTTTAATTAGTCTTAAACTTTATCAAAATAGACACGTCTTTTTTCTTGAGCATCAGACCTATGATACATGTAACCCTTCTGCACAGGTGATGGCTCCTTCACACTTTTCCCTTTCCCTCACTTATTTGATGAGCACAAAGAGAAATCATAAGCTTGTATATTTGTTTTTTCTTCAGCACTGTTGTCAACCTGTCTTAATTCAGCAGTAAACCATAAAAAAAAAGGACTGCTTTCTCTGATCATAACCGTATTTGTGCAATACACTCTAACTTATAAATGTTTTTATTAGCAGTTGTACCTCACAGTAATTTCTGGGAGAACAGTTGGATATTTAAATGGTAAAGCACAGGCCATAGAGAATTCCACCTAAAAACAAATGAGGAAATGTTTACTTCATGTAAGCCATAAAATCCCACAAAGTAGTATTAAAAAAAAAAAAAAAGTTCTTTACAATACCATAGAGGCATTAGGCATCTCTTTCTTTACATTCAGTGTAAACTGAACTTTTGAAGATGGCACCTCTGCAGACTCATTTTCAACATAGTGTTTCAGTTCAGCCAGAGCCAGCTGGTCTGTGACAGCAAACTCTTCCTCGTAAGGAAACATGCTAGACAGCAAATCTAACTCTGAAATTTGTATCTCTGCTTCTTCTTGGTTGGCCATTTTTGTTGTTCCCTGAGCAAAGAAAAATATAGGGAAGAAAGACATGGCTTGAATAAGAAATAATAATATATATAATATATTATAATGTAATAAAATATAATATAATATATATTATATTATTGTTATATGTATTATATATAATATAATGTATATTATATTATTTATTTATTATATATATATATATATAATATGAAATGGGACAAAATTCATTGACTATTCCTATGCAAATCATGTTACAGAATCACAGAACACACCGAGTTACAAGGAACTCACAAGGATCATGGAGTCTGACTTCTGGCCCTGTACAGGACACACCTAAGAGTCACACCCCGTGCCTGAAAAGCATTGTCCGAGTGCTTCTTGAGCTCGGTGCAGTGACCACTTTCCCGGGGAGGCTGTTCCAGTTCCCAACCACCCTCTGGGGGAAAAGAACCTTTTTTTTTTTTAAAATATCCAACCCTAAACCTCTCCTGCTCGGGACATTAACAGTCATGAACAAGCCCACCATAACCGGCTCGCGTCCGCCAGGCAGTCTGGCTCACGCACACTGACAGCCCACGCCAACTTCCACCGCCCTGAGGCGGGACAGGACGCGCTGGCGTGTCACCAAACCAACGCAGGGCTGCCGGTGGGCTGTCCCGACCGTCGAACGTACCGCCACCGCTCCGCCGCCCCGGGGCCCGCACACAGCACAGGTCGGGAGAGCGCCGGAGCGGCCTCCGCGCATGCGCGCCCGCGTCCCGCACCCCGCCCCCGGTCACGGCCCCACAATGCAGCGCGCCAGAAGCACGCATGGCAGCCCATGACCGCCGCCTCTCCACCGGTGATCGAGGTAAGAGGTTGCCGTCTGCCCCGTCTGGTGGAGTCGTGCGCCGCCAAGCTGTTCGCCCCGCCGCACCGACGGGTGACGGACGGGAGGCCCCCCGCTCCTACCGCCGCGGCCGCTCTCCTCCCAGTCCGGGACTCGCTCCGCCGGCGCGCTGCGGCTGTCCCTTCGGCCGCGACGTGTGGGGCTCCTGATTGGCTGCGGCAGCTGTCGGTCATGGCGTGGGCCAATCGGAAGCAGGCAGGGCCGGGCCGGGGGGCTGCGAGCTCGGCGCTCCCGGATCCCCGGCCGGGAAGTGCCAGCCGGGATCCTGCCCGCTGCCCGCCGGCCGGGAAGTGCCGGCCGGCGCCGGGATCCTGCCCGCTGCCCGCCACAACCCGCGGGATCCCCGAGCGAGGCTCTCAGTGCTTTTTCCCAGAGTGTCAAATGCAGGTGCGCGTTTGGTCGTTTACAGACCGCACTGTCTTATTAAAAAAAAAATAAAATTATATATATATATAAAGTGCTTCGGTCGTTTAGGCTGTGCATTCCTGGTGAGGGCTTTGCCGTGGTGCAGAGCCAGTCGGACGAGTCTGCCCAGGCGTAGCTTGGGTTAAATTAACAGCCCCACGTGTTGATGCTGTCCTGCATTCCCGGCAGGAGCAAGGACAATTTGGAAAGGATTTTATTAATTAAAATTGTATCTACAAGATAAAGTGTGGTAGCTTTTTGCAGAAAAATGTGCTGTAGAGGAAGGTTGGTGGGTCAGCAGTTACTTCTTTTTCTTAACAAGCTGAATGCTAAGTTGCAAAAGTTGGTGATTCTGATGAAGTGGCCGCCGAGCCACCACCAACAATTGGGTCATCTGCCCTAAGAGTCTGCTCATGCAAACATGCTCCTGTTTGTAAATGGCTTGTCATACAAAACGTCCTCTGTGAGTATCATGACTAAGCCCTCCCCACCTTAATTCTTCTCTTTGGTTCTGTTATGAGAAGATTGACCAGGCCAATATTCAAGCAGCAATCAATTTATTAATTAAGATGGTGAAGTATGAGCAATACAGTAATACCCAGGTTGCCTGTATGTACCTGACACGAAACACAACTTTGTATTTCACAGTTCTCTTGGTATGACTTAATTATTTTGGCTTTGACAGCTCCAAGCAGACACTTGTGCCCTGGGTCTTGTGTGCTGCCACATGCAAGCAAAGAAATTTGGCTTTGACAGCTCCAAGCAGACACTTGTGCCCTGGGTCTTGTGTGCTGAGCAAAGAAATGAATTTGGAAGGGTTCACTGATACAGATTTGATGCTCGTTGTGTTTACGTGAAGGGTGGGCAGCAGGGTTAACCTGGCCTGCAAATATTAGAGACTTGATTTTGAACCCTTTTAGCTTCCTTGTTTTCATTGTACAATGTGAGTTTTAAGCTTACCTGAGATTTTTGGATTATCTTTTGTCAGGTAAGGTACAGGGGCTGCAGACTTGTGGAGACCCAGGGGGGCATTCCCTGGTTTAGGGAGACACAAGAAAGTTACCTCAAAAAGCTGTTAAGACCCCATTGGCTCGTTCCCCTGCTCCTATGTCCCTGAGCCATTCCCTATTCCCTGACTGGCCCTTATCTTTGTACTGTCCCAAGACCAGGCTCACCCCCAGGTCACTCAGAGACTGATAAGCTTGGACCCTCTATGTGTATGTGCCTGGGACCTGATCTTACTGGGTGCCTGAATAAAGCATCTATGGATATTATGCAAAGGCCCTCTTTGCTTCTTTACACTCTGGACTTTGCTAGCAGCAATGCAGGCTGCCACACAGAGTAGAAACTGAAAATGTTCTGTCACATGGGCAGTAGCCACCTATCTGAAGCCAAGCACTGGGGTTAGGACTCCGAAGTGGAAGATCACTCTTGTTGAGAAGGGTCCACAGGTATCGTGGATAACAGACCTGTCTGAATTATTTGCTTGATATGTAGGGAAGGTGATGGTAAATCTTCCCCAGAGAAGAAATTGAGAAATCGCAATTCCCATGGTCTATGTATTTTCAAATATGTTAAGAGTATTTTACTTGTGTCAGATTTCATCAAAGACACAGGACATTTGCAGTCAACAAAATAAAAAGGTTGCCAATTCTTCAAGATTGAATTGGGACAAAACCAATTCTTTTTCATAAAATTCCTGTGGTGTTGCTTTAAGTCCTTAAGGTTTGTAGGATTTTTGATAATGAAGTTTCCAGTCTTGTTATTTTGTGCAATGCTTTTGATTTAACATTTTAAATCACTTGGGTTTTGTAATTCACACTGTGATCTTTTCTATGCAACAGTTACAATTGTTTCATGTTAAACTATAATTAATATTTTTTTGTTTTGAAAATGTCAAAACAAGTTAATTCACCTCAAGGGACAGCTTTGCCATAGAAATAACTTGTGTAGCAATGAAGAAGGACAACTAAAACTACTTTCTAATCTTACTATTTTTCTTTTTTAGGTCACTCTTCCTTTTAGGAACGATTACAGACAACAAATATGGGCAAGAAACGCATCAAAGGCAAAGCTGCACAGTCTGATGAGTCTTCGGATATACTGAGTATGTTTCCTTGAAGAAGTTTGTGGACCTAATGTTTCTTTTAACCTCAGAGAAGGCTTGAAAGCTGATTAATATTAGAAGGCCTTCACATTACTCACTGACTTTGAAGTCGCGTGTACAAAATCTGGATTTTTAATTTAAACCAAGTCTAGCAAGAAATATTGTTGTCATGACTTTTCTAAGTATGCTAGATAATAATAATCCTGTCTTAAAAACTGAGATTAGTTTCTGTTTTTTTAGGAAACTCAAACACAGAGTTCTTTACTGATACAGATTGTGTAAAATTACTCAGAATATAAAGGGTTTGTGGAGTCAGCTGCCAAGCTTAAATTGCATTTTCCTAGTGAAAAGTTTATTGCAGAAGATTCTTGCTTTAGCAGTAAAAGCTGTGACTAAGATACTTTTTATGAAGCAGGTTGCCTTTATTCTAGCAGCTACTTTGGTACTGACTCTGGGCGTTTCAGCTCTCATAGTGTATTTTGGTTAAAATCCCTTCTTTCTGTCCCAAGTAGTTCCTAATCCCAGATACTAAATTTTACTCTCCTAGCTCCATTGGATCTCACCTGTGAATTTTTTTTTTGTCGTGTTTACTTTGGTTATTGTAGCTTTTTTTTACTTATGTTGTGTAGCATTCTCTTCTACCACCTTATGTGCCAGGTCACAGATTGTGTCTTTCTCATCTTTTTTGGGGAAGTGGTTTGAAGCAGATTAATTTAGTTGGGGGAGAGAGGACTTGTAGTTTGAGGAGGCTTGGTGGAATGACCTGTTTAAGTACGCTGTGGTTTGGTTTCCTGATTGTCCTGATCTTCTTGTGTTAGCTTCTGTCTCTAATGGATGCCTTTTTTTATCTGCTTTTGTCTGGTTTGGTTCTTGGGGATGTTGGGGGCTTGTTTCCTGGAGTCAGGGTCAATGTCTGCTGTAACTGTTCCTCTTTTTCTCCTGCACAGAGACCAGTTATGTTCTAGTTGCTGCTGGCATCTCAATTTTTTGCCCATGAATAGGTTATCTTATGACGACAAAGACCTGTAAAGCTACAAATAAAACTAAGACTAATCATGGTGAATAATTCCACTGTAACAGTTGTTGCCAATATACAAAATTTTTTTGTTTGTTTTTTAAAGGACAATTTTGTAGATGAAGCTTATGCTTTTCAGAAAGGCTAAAAGAATGCTGAATATCTGTGTTTGTCTCTTGTTGGCTAGCATTTGCACTGTGATGAAATCCTGTAATCTTGGATGGAAACAGAACTGGAAGTACAAAATTCTGCACCAATTCCAGTTTATGCCAATAGAAGTTTGCAATCTCGAGGCTGTAATCTTGCCAAAACAAAGATAGTGTAACAGGTCTGAAACTATCTGAGAAATAAAAACAGCTCAAAGTTTAGATTCAGCAACAGTATCCCCATATTGTCAGTGGTGGTAACAAAAGGTTTCTTTCTGATACTCTGATAAATTGTCTGTGTTTCATTGGCTCTAGAAAGACTATTCTAGCTTCTGGATTACTTCCAGTCTCTCCAAAGCTTGCATTTGTTATGCTACCTACATCCTTCTTGTGCTTTTCAATTTGTAGAACCTGTGTGCAAGCATATTCGTAAAGGAGTGGACCAAGGGCAAGTGAGAAAGTCGCTGCAGAATGTGGAGTGGCATGTTTGTCAGGACTGCAAGGCAGACAGTAAGACACAAGAGAAGGCTGAGGAGAAGGAGACTGATGAAGGCACTTCGATATGGTTATGCCTAAAATGTGGCCATAGGGTATCTCTTTTGTTGTTAATTTGTCTTAATACCTTTCAGTGTCTCATAGTGCAATGGAACAAGAGAGTTTCTAATTAAACTCTTATATTCTCTTTTTTGGTTGTAAAGATGGTGCTACCTAGATGACTTTATATCCTGTAGAATGTGATTGAAAAATGTCTGCTCTGAATGTCAAATGAAGTACTTGGAAGATGGCTTAAAGACATTTAGCAGGCTTAAGGCTATAACAGCCTTGAGGACTGGTTTTCCTAGAAAGTTTGAATTATTTTGCAGAGAAAATAAAAATACTCCTAATCTGTATTAGGGGTATTTTTACAAGATCTTAGTGCTCATGTTAGTTCATGAAACTTGGAACTCTGCATGCTGAAGATATTTTGGTTCTGTTTCGTTCTTTCAGGTGTTTAGACTGGAATTCATTCATTAAATGTTCAGTCCCATAGCAGCTTTATTCTGCACCCAGTAATTTATCCATCTGCAGAAATAAATATTTCAAAATAGATATCCATCTGTTGATCCCAGTTAATTGAACAGTTTTGATTGTAATACTTTGTTTTTACTCTGACCTTATATATGTTTCATTGGCAGTCAGATGGATTTTGTGACACTTGTGGTTATCAATATTGTAGGGCTGTGGCAGAAATTCTCCAGACCAGCATGCTTTAAAGCATTATGAAAAACCAAGATCAGATCCCCACTGTTTGGTTCTCAGTTTGGACAACTGGAGTGTATGGTGAGTCATCAGGCAGCACAAGACAGAGCTGGAGGGCAACAGAGGCTGGAATATAGTTTATC